ATACAACTCATCATCGGTTTGTGTCACTCGACTAGTAATGATAAAAAGGCACAAAATCCACCTCCGGCTAAGAATGAACATGATCATGTCTTGGAACATTCACTGCATCAATTGTTAAGAGAGGTACATCATAAGAATACTCATCATCCATTACCACATCCAAGTACTGGACCTTTAGGACCATCGAAAAAACGTTGCCTAGCTGGTAATTATTGAGTTAAATAATCATAATTATCTTAAACATTGTTTGTAAAATTTATTTGTTTTGTGATTTTTATAGGTCCGATGGCTGCAGATCGTTATGAATTGCTTGAAATGACGAAATCTGAGACTTTACTTGAACAAATCATCAAACAAGCTCAGCATTTTTTATGCGCGCGCGTACTGAGTATGTTCTTGATACAATGGCGAAAGAAGTTAAAGATCCTTTGATTACTTCGCATTGGAACACGTTGAACAGTCCCACGCGTTCCTGTGTAAAGATTAACATCTCTACGCATGGTTACGATGCAGTTTTTCGTACTCCGTTGGTAATTAGCGTTGGTGAGAAGAGTTTGAAGTGTATCTGTCGTGGTGGTAAAGTGATGCACATGAGTTACGAACCGCAAGAGCTGCGTGATTTGATCATGTGTCATATTAATCAACATCAGATTCTCGCTGTGCAAGCACTGGCGAAAACAATGGGATGGCAGTTGTTGGCGAATTCGGCGCATTTGGGTATTGGCACGGTGGAATCTCTTGGAAATGCGAGTTCTTGTATGCTTGTATCGCCTAATGGTGATAGGGTAATTGCGGTAAGATGTGAGCCGCTTTCCGGTGTGCAGGTTTCGGTGGCACATTCGCCAAGAACTGATTTTTTCCCTAGTAGATTGGTTACTGAAAGAAAATGGGAACATTTGGGTGGACAGTTTAGGGATATACGATTGGAGAAGATGGAGGGTAGGAATTTCCTGCATAAAATGGAGTTGCTCATGGCTAGCCTCACAAGCAACTCTTAAATATTTTTATTTATTTAATATTTCATAATTATAAGACTATTGTATGCAAACCATTACACAATGAAATGCGCATGTGTGTAGTTTAGTTCATGATGCCGCCTGAAGTGTGCGTGCCGGTGCGGTGGTTGCCTAGCAATTCCTGCAAGAAGTGCTCAAGTCCAACTTTGCGTGCAGATGTGCTCCGCTGTTTTTGAAATAATTAACAAGTAAAAGGCTGATAGGTGTTCAAAGAAGGGTAAACATCTATAGAGTAAGTTGTTTTACTTTCATTTATAACATACTTTTGCACGGATGAACAAATTTTACCAAGTTATCAACGGATAGAGAACGAAAGTGGTTAAACCTAACCTAAAAACCACCATCCATTTTCCGTTAGCCCATGACGCGTTGAATTTGGTTTATAAAAG